GAGTTATACCCTCCCCCTATTTCTTAGTTCAACAGCTATGAACTGAAAAAAGACTGTATGTCATGTTGGCAATTCTAAAGGCAGTGCTGGCATCGACATTTTTAAATGAGATATTTGTTCTAATTAAAATAGTTAAGCATATTTCATACAAATGAGTGAATAACAGATACTGATTTAAACAGGCTACTAATGGAGTCACCAAGTTCCTGCTTTACTCTGGTGAAAAGACACAACCACAGAGTTTTCAACTTTAGCTACTTTATCATGAGAACATGAAATACTGACCCTTTATTTTCTATCCATCCTACAGGGCAAGAGAGCCATTTAAAAACAGTGGTTTGCTCTTTTCCTTTCCTGCGTGTTTGCTTCTAGAGGAAGGAATTTAAGTCAGCAGTCAGATCATCCCAGCCATCGTAATCCGAGGTGGGCGAGCCAATTTGGAGACCATCAGAACTGGAAATGCTTTTAGAATTTGAAGCAAATCCAAATCTGCTCACAGCATCCAGGGTTACATTATTATTTCACCACCTTCCCGGAATTGCCCTGAGATTCCCTGAGAGCAACTGCAGACCCGCAGGCACAGGGCTCCCAGCTGCCTGAGAGGGGAGCTGAGAGCACCCCCATCCCTGCCCCATCCTGCCCACTGGACTCCAGCTGGGGACGCTGTGGCCAGACTGCTCTGGAAGAGGTTCAAGAATACAGGTTTCCAATGGTTAAAAAAACCAAACCAAACCAAACCTGGTGTTTCTAGGGGAAAATGTCGTCACGGTATTTTGGAAGATAGTGAGGCTGGTAAGGAAGTCACTGTAGGTGTGGCAGACTTCTGAGGCATTTTGTCGAACATAAGACGATCATGGTTGTCGATTTAAAGTTAAACCAGTCAGCTGTCCCAGCTGGGATGACTTCTGCCTCGTGTGAGAGAACCACCGATTGACCAGGACTGGGTGCATTCGTTAAGGGATGTGAGTTCTCAGCGTTCCCAGATCTCTGTACCCTGAATTCCACAGGCAGGCAGGGCCAGCCCTGCTCACTGTGACTGCTGGACACTTCAGACGTCCACTCTGGAAGGTCACATCTCCAGGCAGAAGCAGGACGGTGGGACGGAGGGGCCGTGAGCGCAAAGGAGGCAGCGTTGGGGGGAGGGTCCCCTGAGACGTGAAGTCTTGGGAGCCACACAGCCTGAGAGAACTTCTCAGCCCTCTTAAGAATTCTCTCATATTTTGACAAGGGATGTTGCTTGTGACACCAAGGCCAACTTGTTTGTATCCTTAGTATCTCAAATTTGAAACAAGAGTTTTACAAATAGGAGCAGAAAATTAACTCCAAATGGACCTGGAGAATAAACACACAGACACACAGGCACACACACGTACACAACCCTGTTTATATGCAAAACGTTTTTGACTCAAGACGACACGCAGCTGCGGACACACAGTGACTACGATGCTTGTGATCCACGTAAAGCACCATCGAAAGTGCGTCTGGGGGATCGCGTGGGGACTGAAGCTTCGGTAGACAAAGATGCGTGTGGCAGGGTGTGTGCAAGCTCTCCTCTCTGCACGTCCTCCCCCAGTGCTCGCGGCTGTCACACGTACAGTGCAGACTCTGTACATTTTTAGGACCCCAATACACTCCCGACTGAACAAAGGAGGTGGGAGAAGGTGTTAAAAATTGGCAGGTCGGGGGTGGGGCATGTTTTCGGGGGTCAGCACAGCCTTTGCAGATGCAGCACAGATTGTGTTAATTCTGAACTGCAGCGTCTCTAGCTCGAATAAAGAAACCGCTCGACAAAGGATGCGCCTTCCCCAGCCTGGAGAGGCGGCTGATGCCACCTACAGCCTGTGAACTGGCTCTGCAACCGGCACCTGCACCCCTGGCTGGTCCTCGATGGGACAGATGAGAATTGATGCAGGGGTTGGAAGACCAGCAGTCAACTCTCAGGATGAATTGTTCTCTGATAAACTGTAAGCAACTAGAAATGTGCTTAAAAATTATTTTGACTAAAGGGTTTTTCAAGATTGTAGCAATTGGATCAAAATTTGTGAAATACATTTCTTACAAATATATTTCTTCTAGAGAGGACCTGATGGGATGTGGTTATATCTTTTTTTTTTTAACGTATAGCAGCCCCCAGACGTTCAGCGCTGCTGGATTAGGTCAGCGGGTATGTGCTCATCCGCACAGTCTTATCTTCTTAGGCAAAATGGGATTACTGTGAAATCATCAGGTGACACACACTTCTGAAAAGAAATGAAATGTACTTTTATTGGTGGGGCCAAGATGAAGTATGTCTTCAAATCTGTTTTACAAATAAGCTTGCACATAAATTGTCCATTCATGGCTTCGAAATCTTTGTTCACATTTGAGAGGCTGTCAGAGGTCCCTAATAAACATGAGTCTTATTTAGTTTACAGGATATGCAATTCTTCTTTTCTTTGAAAATTATTATTTTTTCAAGCAAGTGCAGCAAAAATACAACCAATAAAAATCCAGCTATGGCAGCATAAACAACCTTTACAGCCAGCATATACATTGAGTTCTTCCAATAAAAGCAGTTCCTGGTAAGGAAGGGAACAGAAAATTGGCCCATGTTGCCAAGAGCAAGCGCAGGGCCTCTAAGGGCTGAGAAAGGAAACTAACAGCCTGTTCCCGCTTCCCTACTGCGGACTCATCTTGCTCTCTGGGTGCCAGGGGAGCAGCGCATTTGCAGGGAGGCCCTTGGGCCAAGGAGAACAAGGGCTGGTTGCTTGGTCGGATCCAGACTCCAGTTTGTCTCAACCTGATTTGTGAGGCAACCCCCCAAAGCCCATTCTTGGGGTCACCAAAACTGATGGATAGTGGGGTACAGTTCCCTGGAGGGCTCTCGAGGGGCAGAACACAGACCAGCCACCTCTCCGGTCCCCCGTGCTCGGTCCAGGCTGGTGGTCCCTCAGCAGGGCTGTGCCACGGTGGGTGGCAGGGCTGGGGTGGCCCCACGGGGGTGGACTTAGAAGGATCTGGCCCAGGGATTCTGCTCTGGGCTTGTGGTCAACTGTTGGGGCTCCCAGGAAGGGGCGATTGTTTCAGTGCCCAGCCACGGTCACGTGACCACGACCCCGGCTCCGGGCCACTTGCATGGACAGAGCCCAAGCCGGCAGCACAGGGCTCCAGGCGACCCCAGCCTGGCGTGGACTCCTCCCTGGCAGCTGCGTTCACAAGTTCTCAGCAGACGAGCGGGTGTTCATTTATGCCTTTTATAGTAGCTCGAAAGATGTTATCGCAGCTTGAGAACAGAAATTAAAATATGTATCCTTCAGGTGCAAATCTACTGTACTTACAGTTTTACTGTTTCTCTGCAGGGGGGCTCCATTAATCTTGTAACAGTGGAATTCCTGAGGAAATTAATTCCCTCCAGTTGGGGTTATTTTCAACTAGTCTTTAGGGGCGGAGTAATTGGGATTTAGGAGTCTCTCTTAAAAGGAAGGAAGAATTGGCCATTTTACTTGAGTAACAACACTTTTTAACGCCATGCTTTGCCCATTAAAAACCCCCTGTGGGCCTCTCAGCTCCTGGAGGGTAGACCCAGACAGGTGGGAATTCAATCCCAAGTCTTCATCTACAGTGACCAGGTGTTTTTCTCCACATGGGTTATCTGTGCCCCCTCGTACTCAGCACTGTGCCCCCTCGTACTCAGCCCTGTGCCCCCTCGTACTCAGCACTGTGCCCCCTAGTACTCAGCACTGTGCCCCCAGTACTCAGCCCTGTGCCCCTAGTAATCAGCCCTGTGCCCCCTTGTACTCAGCCCTGTGCCCCTAGTACTCAGCCCTGTGCGCCCTAGTACTCAGCACTGTGCCCCTAGTACTCAGCACTGTGCCCCCTAGTACTCAGCCCTGTGCCCCTAGTAATCAGCCCTGTGCCCCCTAGTACTCAGCCCTGTGCCCCTAGTGCTCAGCACTGTGCCTAGTACTCAGCCCTGTGCCCCCTAGTACTCAGCCCTGTGCCCCCTAGTACTCAGCACTGTGCCCTGCCGGGGAGGAACATTTGGGTCCAGGAGGGAATGATGCGTCATTAAAATGCATGGTTAAAATATTTCCTCACCTATTCAGGAGAGGTAAAATGTTAGCTGTTGTTAAAAATAATTACACCCCAATCACATACACACACATGCACACACACACCCTCTTTAAAGTGGTCACTTCACGGATACAGGGTGCAGCTCCTGTCACCCAGGAAGCCCCCACTGCAGTCTGATCTGGAGCTTTGGCTCTGCCAGGCCAGAACATCAGCCTCCGGGACCCAGAGCCCCAGCTTCCTGGTCCCCATGCTCCCAGCCTGTAAAGTACCACGTAGTACCCTCTGCAAAACCTGTCTGTCCCATCCTTCTCAGGGCTGTACTGTTGGGACGACTGTTCCTGGTTTCTGATCAAGCAGGCCTGGGAGCCCAGGAGAAACCCCTGCCCAGAGGGCACCAGGGGTCACTGGGTTCCCTAGGGGGATGGATCCCGCACCTCCAAGAGGGAATAGGACACAGCTAAAGGATGCTTACATATTGGGGCGGCAGAATGTCACTGTCTGGGATTCATCCACACTGGGGACAAGTGCCAAAATCACCCCAAACATCTTGCTTTCCTGTTTTCAGTCTTCACGCACTAAGTTCAAGATGATAATGCTGAATTTTTCCCTCTGGGCCTGCACGTGCTCAGAGAAACATAGGGCTGGGCTCTGAAGTAGCAGCAGCATGCCGGTTGGGGTTTGGTGGTGCAGCAGGAGGAGCGCGTGAGGCGGTGCAGGAGGGGGTGCTGGCACGGCCCCGTCTCCGCTGTGGGTCCGGGCAGTCTCCTTAGCTGTCGAGTGGGGGCAGGCACTGATGGTTTTGCATCATCAGCTGGAAGGAACATGGAATGACAGATACAGACACGTGTGTGCGGGGGCTTCGGGAGGCTGGAAGGCACTATAAAGCTGTGTATACCCTTATATACGTGTAACTCAGGTGTGACAGCCCCTCAAAATGTGGCTTGGGCTCAGGGCTGAGTGGAGTCGTCTTTGCTGCCGAAGTCAGAGCATCTCAAAGCTCAGAGATTCACCTGCTGAACGTCAGGCCTGTTGACATCAATAGTGATGACTGTAAAAAGGCAAGGAGGTAGAAATGGAAATGTTAGCTGGGAGTTTTCCCAGCATCTCTTTTTTAAGGTAGGGAGTGTGGTCTGTAGCTGGTGTATCCTGCTTTCAGCAAATTCCATTTAAAGGAAAAACCAGGATTTCTAAAACAGTCCCATTTAAAGGATAATTACAGCATTGTGGGGGGGGGCAGGTGGGTAATTAGGTTATTTATTTATTTATTTTTAATGGAGGTACTGGGGATTGAACCTAGCAACTGTACATGCTAAGCATGTGCTCTACCACTGAGCTACAGCCTCCCTCCAATTACTGCATTTTTTAAAAAAGTTTTACTATAGCACATTTCCCTAGTGTATTACAATTGCGCTATTTTTAAATTACAAAGTCAGTCATATTCTTTGAAAAAATGCAAACGACACTAGGAAGTGTGTAAGGTAAACACTCCCTTTAAAACTCCTCTATTTTCACCTTCTGGGAGCAAGTTCTCGTAACACTTTGGGGCACATGCTTCCAAAGACCTTTTCTGATGCTACATTCAGCCATATAGTTACATGTTTGATGTGAATATAATTCTGTCTAAATGATCATCAGAGTATACATCCTGTTTTGCAACATGCTATATTCTCCTCTCCTGCTGCATGTTTTCATAGTAATCTCTAGGCTTTATTTACTTAAAGAAAACTAACCTTTTTATTTTTAAATAATTGTAGGGTCACATGCAGTCTTAAGAAATAACACAGAGAGTCCATGTACGCTTTCCCCTGAGATAGCATCTTCAAACTGCAGTGCAATATCAGGACTAGGATGTTGACATTCATATCATCGGCTCATCTTCTTCCATTTCCCCAGTTTTACTTTTGTTCTGTGCAATTTTGATCACCTTTAGGTTTGTGTATCTATCACCACAGCCAGGAAACAAAACAGTTTCTTATCACTCTCTTATTGCATTTTAAATAATGTAACTTACCGACTTCAGTAACATCTACGTCTCAGAGGGAGGCACACATGTACTGGCCTCCTAAAAACCACTTTCAGTCATTGGAGCTGTGAGAAAATACAAAGTGAGTCATAAATAAAAGTCATCTATGTAATTTAAAAATTTCTAATAACCACATTTAAAAGGGAAAAAGAGGTAAATGTAATACTACGTTTCACAAAATCCAGTGTATCAGAAATAGTATTTCAACATGTAATCTATATAAAAATTATTAATGAGATATATCACACGGTTTATTTTTTGTGTGTGATTGATCTTTGAACTCCACAAGCCCACCGCTCCACCAGCTGCAGGTACTGAGCATGAGCTGAGCACCTACCATGTGCCTGGCTCTAACTCTGGCATGGGGACAGAGACACAGTTCCTGCCCCTGATGAGAACTGGGGCTGGTGGAGACCACAAGCAACCCTCTAACTTGGCGAGATGTGCACATGGTCAAAGGGCGCACAGGTGCCCTGAACACCCTGGGGAGGCTCCATGCAACCTGCACTCAAACTCAGTCCAGAGCCGGAGGACCCTAGGAGGAGCTCCAGTGTCTGGTTGAAAGCAATGCCTATTGGGATGGAACTACACCAGGAGGGGAGCTTTGGAGACAAGGCCGGGTGCGGTTTGGGGACAGACAAAAAGATACGTCCTCTCGCCCTCTCCCCCCTTCCAGGTTAGATGAATGCCTGGCTCTGGAGGCAGGGGAGAGCTCTTGGCTGGGGGCTGAGGATACTAGCAACATGGACAAGATTCCCCAGGCCCGAGAATGCGTGGGAAACATTGGAATGGGAGGTGGAAAGGTGGTGAGAGGGCACCACCTGGAGTGTTCACATTAGGGGGATGCCAGAGAAGGCCCCGAGGTTAGAGGGGCGCGGATCCTGGAGGCCTGAGGAAGAGGTCCTGGAGCTGGGAGCGTAGTGCCGGAAGGCGGCGCCCCTGCCCAGGCCGTGCTACCCGGAGGTCACAATGGTGATGTGTGTGCGCGCTGGCTGCGCCCAGGGTTGGCACCGCCTGGGGCGCGTGTGCCGGGACTCGCCGTGGCACGGGTTCGGCTCCTTCAGGACCGACTTCGAAGCTCCTGTCAGTACTGAGGTTCAGAGATGGCGCGATCTCCCTTTCCCTGACCTCCCGTTCCATCCCCACCTTTCTGTAATTTCATTTCAGATCAAGACTTCAGGTTGTTAAATACACAACTCACATCACACACGCGCGCACACCCTTCTCCCAGCTGCTGTACGGAGCGCCGGGGTCCAAAAGCCGCAGGAATCTGCACTCCGACCTCCGGGAGCCCCGGGAGTCTGGAGCCCCAGCGCACGTTCCTCGCCCTCAGGAGCCGAGGTCGGGAGCCGCGGTCGGGAGCCGCGCGCTCCCTCCGGCCGCTGCGGAAGCCCCGC